CGCTCGCTGCCTCCCGCGGGAGGAGCCTTAAAGGGCCAGCACGGCCCGAGAGGCGGCGGCTGGGGAAACTGAGGCACGGGGCTGGGCCTGAGCGGTGGTGCAGCCCGGGCAATGCCTCAAGGATAGTGATGGCCGAAAAAGATTGGCTGGAAGTAAATAGACCGGTGTCTATGGAGCAGATATTTGTTTATTGCAGTGCTGGAGGTGAGGGGGATTTCTACACCTCGCTTGCCCACCCTTGTCAAGTGCTGTGGTTTATTTATACAGTAAGTATTCCTTGATGTTGCTATGTTATGTCATTATAGCATCATTGTAAACGTGCTGGAGGAAATTTACATAATGTTTTCTCCTGGTTATAAATAGTTCTATACTGTGCTTGTGCCTCCCCAGTTTAGGTGGTCTTGGGGGTCTTCAATGAAGGGTCAAGGTCTTCCTCACATCTGAACTTTTCAACTTTGTCTTCAGAGTATGTGGACTTACGGCATTCCTGAGTCCTGAATCTAACCTAAATTCTTCATTTTTTGGCTACTTGGCTTTTCATTTGTCAATTTCTCATTAGTGCATCCTCCTGCTTCCCTGTATATATATATACACACATATACTTGTTTGGTTTTGAGGTTATTCACCTGGCCAGTTTCCATTTATTTAAGCATTAAGCAGCTAGTTAACCATAAACTGGCTATTGCATCGTATAGAAAGTTATGATTCAGGTTATCTTGGTATCTTACACCTCAAGCCATATAAGCATCTTCTAACTTTGACCCAAGTTATATCGGCATCACCCTTCTCCACCTCTTTGGTTAAGACCTTACAGGAGAGGGGGGTGAAAAAAGCAAGTCCCCGTTTGATCACCGTCTGCTTCTTCAGCTTTGAAATGCTGTAAACACACCTTGGAGCTCCTCTGTCTTTGATAACACCACTCAGGCCATGGGAAATGTCTGAAGCAACAACATCTGCTCAAAACACCCGAGTTTTTACGGTGCTTTTACACTTGAAGGATCTGTCATGCTCTTATTTATAGTGCACTCTGATAAATGGAGATGATTTGTGCTAAGAAAATTGTAATTATTTAGAAAGTTATTATTGTAAAGCAATAAAGGGAATTGGTGTTACAAGGCAGATGGAGCCCCTAACAGATGTTACATGTTAAAAATAGGATACAGGATGTAATTTTGAGATAAGTGATGTCCCAAGACAAAATCGACCTTGAGATAGACAAAGTTGGAATGACTTTAGGCTTAGGGCCTGAAATTATGAAATGTGAGACCAATTAGTAGAATATAATGCTTACTTACATAACACAACACTTAGTACACACATGCAACCTGTAAGGTTATCCAGGGAACAACCTTCATCCAAGGAACACCAAAAAGAAGACTGAAGCCCCCCTAGCAACAAGAGAGGCATGTCCATGAAGAATAGTGACATAAAATTTAAGAATCAGAAGTAGGAGGAAATTTACAGGAAACATTAAGGAATATGTATAAATATACAGTATATAAGTTTAGCTTGAATTGCTTTGTTTTGTATGTGAGGCAGGGTGAGAAGCCCTCTCTGTACCTCAGTCGGTTTTGCTTATGCTTTAATCATGCCTAATTACTGGCAAATTATATTCACATATATATATTTATATATATATGTATTTATATATATCTATCTGAATATATGCACTAAATTGTACTCTTTTACTAAATTGTATTCCTTTTATACCAAATTTCTATTCAATCCACTAAATTGTATTCTTGTATTCAATTCACTCTTTCCTTTTTTTTTTGTTATTAAATTGCTATTAACTCAATAGACCCAGTCATCTAATTTTAATTTCATTTATAACAACTCTGATACACAAAGTTTTGTCAATTTTATTTCCTTCATCATTCCATGGAGCCTTTTTGGGTTTTTTTTTCCAAACCTCTTTGAAAAAAAGAGTTTGTTCTTTTTTGCAATAATACTGAAATATCCACTTGAAAAATCTCCCTCCCTGTGCCCATGCTCCCATGGACCAGGGGAAAAAGCTCCTCCCTGGTGCCATTATTCAGCACCTGGCAAATAATCAACATGCAATTATTTGCCCCTGTGCAAGCAGATTGCACATGCCTCACCCAAGGAGATGAAGTGGAAGGAGTGTCCTTACTCCATTCCCAGGACTGCAGGGAGATGGAAGCCTCTCTGCTCAGGTCTGTGTTTCCCCAAAGCAGCCAGCACAGTGATGGTTCCAAGTTTACAATTCCAGCCCTGTCATGTTCATATTTAGCAGAGAAACTGCTTTTAACATCAGCAAGATTGTTCATTGGGTAGCTTCTGGCAGGGAGCAACAGGAGCTCATGCCCTGAGATGACCCTTTGAGCTAGAATGCTCCTGGCTCACGGACAAGGGAGTGAAAGCACCTTGGAAAAATATTTTGAAAGCTGGTTTTGAAGCCCAAACATGCAAGATAATGAGAGTGGAGAATGAGATAGGAGAGCTAAAACAAAGGCATCGATCTTGTCTGTACAATCTTGCTGATTAACAGGCACCAATTTCACCCTAATCACTCTGAATTGCAGCTAGGTTGGACACCAGGGGAATTTCCTGAAGCAGGGAAACCTCTCAAGGTTTGGGATCCCCTTATCTGAGCCTGACCCCGAGGTCTTTCTCTGCCAAGGGCAAGAGATCCCTTACCCACACCAGATCTTTGGTAAGTGACTGAGAGCAGCTGAATTAGTACAAATGAAATACCACTGATTCATGGGGCTACTCAGTATTAATGATAAACTTTACATATATAAAGCACTGATTGGATCTGTCACTAAGCCTGGATCCAGCTGCACCCACACTTCTCCCTCAGGAGTTAGGAAGGGAGTCCATTCTGAACCTCAGGAGTCAAATGGAGGGTCTTTCTTAGCCTTTGTGCCTCCAAAACTCTTTGTGAATCACTTGATTTTAACTCAGTTTTCCTTTGTATGTTTCTTCCATGCAGTCAAACTTATTGCACTTTGGTAAATCACTGTTAAAACTATATTAAATTCCATCAAATTTATTGAACTTTGACAAATTATTCTTTTTGCTCAAAAAAACATTGCTGCTTCTCTCTTCAGAGTGAGGTGCATTCCACTCAGCCACAGAAGTTTTCTTTTACAGCAAAGAATAAAATAAATCGCAGCATGGAGGTAGAAGTTTATTTCTACAAGATCTACTGTACAAACTCTACAAACAGGCATCGTTTGTGCTCTTGCCTGAAAGGAATTCAGAGCACCTCCATTTTCCAGGGAAAAAAACCTCTTGAAAAACACAAACTTTTTACATTCAGAAATTCAAGTTTCTTGGATTTTAACACCTTCAAGACTCATGAAGCAACACAGACTTAAGTGGAAGCAGTGTGTTTCCTTCCACCCATCCCATTTCATCTCCTGGCTGGAAAACTTTACCCTCAAAGGAGTGCCTGATTGCAGAGAAGGTCCTGCCTGTCTCACAAAAATCCCAGTGCTTCCTATCTTCAGAGAGACTAATGCCAGACAGAGTTAAATATGGAAAGTTCTAATTTTAAAGCCCTTGCTATGTGTCACCTTCCAGACCCTCCAACAGGACCTTTATTTCAAACCATTGAAAACTCCAGATTTTCCATGATGATTATTAGAATTGAAGAGGGAAGTTGTCACTTATCAAAATGACTCTCAAAAAGCATGGACCAAGTGTTCTTGCATTACTGGCTAGTGCATCATATGGGAAATATAAACAAGCCCTACAAAGACTTTACACAGTGTTGGGAAGGATGAGAATTGAACAGAAAAGTTTTATGGATGTTGTAATAAATGCGAATGATTCTTGCTAACTAAATTGTGAGGCATGTGCCATGAAGAACAGTGACATAAAATTAAAGAATCAGAAATAGGTGGAGACTTATGGGAAACATTAATAAATATGTATAAACATATAGTATGTAAGTTTTGTTTGAATTTACTTTGTTTTGTACGTGAGGTGGGGTGAGAAGCCCTCTCCATACCCCAGTCAGTTTTGCTTATGCATTAATCATGCTTAATTACTGGCAAATTACATATATAAATTGTGGGTTTTTGCTAAATTGTATTCTTTTACTAAATTGTATTTTCTTATACCAAATTATTATTCAATTCACTAAATTGTATTCATTTTTAATTAAACTGCTGTTAACTCAATAAATCTAGCTGTCAAATCCTAATTTCATTTATAACAATGTGAATGCTTAGCAGAAGGTTGTTTAGAAATGAAAGCAAGCTTTAATATATAAAAAGATATTTTTAGGGATAGTTGTTGCTGAGAGAACAAAGGTTTAGTCAAGTTGGAAGGTTTAGTTAGTTAGGAGGAGGTTTATGGCTGTAAGTCCAATAAGTCAAGTGGTCTTCAAAGCATGTTTGCAACCAAGTAAAAAAGCATAAGCAGATAAAGATGTTTTTTACCAAAGCAAAAAGAATTTTCCACTGCATAACAAGTTTTAAAGTTTAACATGGAATTGCTAACTCAGATGATTGGTTAGTCACTAACAGCATGGTAACTCTAGCAGTTTTGATAGGATATATGTAAATGTAAAGGTATAGTGTATGAAGCTGATTGGTTGTTATGTAATAATATGCACAGAAAGAGATTAATGCATTGTAACCTGAACCAAAGGGGCTTCAGGACACAGGGCTTGCCTAGAGCCAGCAGCTGTAGGCCAGCCCATGACCCCCTGCTGTAACCTAAGCTGTGGAATAAACAGCATTAGAAAGAAAAGCCAGCTGAAGTCCCCATCTCTTAAAACACACTAAGATACTTTGGGGTTTTTTTACATTAATTCAGTCCATTTACAAATAATCACTTTAGACACAGGGTTAAAAATATCTTACAAAACATGAGTACAACCTCCATCTTATTGCTTAATTTTCTTATTAAATGGTAGAAATTCTCCTTGGCAAAATAAAAATATGCATACATAAATATATAAACACACTGTTTTGTCTCAGTAATTCCAAATATTAATTACACCATTTTAAATTTTTTGTTTTGCTCAGCATGAAATGAACAGTAATGTACAAAAGTCCTTTTTCTCCAGAAGGGGTAGGAAAAATGTAAGTCTGCATCAAAAAGAAAATCAGTTGCTTTTAAGAATAAGACATCTGTTTAAAAAAAAGCCAACTCAAAAAGTTGTGCCATTTTCATCAACATAGATGTCTTAAGACTTGATTATTAAAGAGATTTAAAAGCCAACTGAAAACCTTTTTCCAATCTCATGAATTTAAAAAAGAAATAAAGTTCTTAAAACTAAGTTCATTCATAAAGGGAAAACAGCAGCTTTCAACTCCACAGAAAAAGTATTTTGAGACTTTTAAAAAGCAACTTGGATGCTTACATGAAAACTTCTAAAATCAGAGTTAAATTAAATAAAAAGTTGCACAAAAGCTCTGTTTCAACTCCATCTTCAAGATGAAACAAGACACTCAGAGGTGCCTGTCCTGACTTTTCCCATTATCAGCTTGGGTACTTGCAGGTGGTGAGCTGTACCCACTTTCAACCAGACCCATTTGCAGTTAAATATGCAAATTAGGCATTTCTTTTAGGACAATCAATTAATCACTCTCTTCACTGGAGTCAAAAATGTCACTGAGTCGGAAAATCTGCTGCTGCTGACTGGCTACCGAATTGTCAAAACTATGGCATTTACCCTCTTCTTTCCTTAGTTTTTCTTCAAGTTCTGGGAGCTTCTTTTCATACAGATAGTCAATAATTTCTAGAGGGGAAAAAAAAAAAAAGTAGTTTTAATTGGATCTGCAGAGGAATAGCATCTCACAGACAGAAATTATGTTGTCAGTGTTAAATGCACAAAATGTCTGTACTGTTCTGATCACAGGGGATGCAGGGAGATCAGACATAACACAAACATGCAGAGAAATTTAAATGCACAGTCTTAAAACTTTTCAAGCCAAGATATTAAAAAGAACAGCTTCATAAGCACTTGCACAAAGAGGACATTGAAAGTTATAAAGAAAGCATTTAGTAAAGTATAAAGCCTAAGATTTTAGCCAATTAGGAAAAAAATGAACCAGAATATGTATCCTCTGAGATTCAAGCCAAAGCCTTAGGTACTCCATACAAACAGTTGGCATACTGACCAGAAAAAGTCTTTCTCTTCCATAAAGGGACAGAGGACACTTTTAGCCTATAAAACTTTGCTTGAGCATAGGATCTAGGAACATCTCTGCAAAGAGAAGAGTTCAAAGAATTAGTGGTGCAAGGAACCATGACAAAGCTTGTTACTTTCCTGAGAGTGATACCAGTCAAACCCTAGCTTAGATTTAGGTAGAAAGGATAGGATTCAAATAATTAATCCATAATATCAAATCATAATTTTTCCTATTAGTTGATTAACACCTGCAAGCACAGATACACAACACTCCAGTATTTGGAATGTTATGGGTTTCAGATCTTGGCTTCCTACTCAGTGCTATTCTAGGACATTGAACTGTAATGTCTCCAGACTGAACATTTCTTCCAGTTGTAAAGGTATCAGAACTTTGATTCATCTGCTTTAACTATCCTTTGTGTATCCATAAAAAGAGGAAAAGGAAGCTTACCCAATAGCACTACTGAGTTCATCCCAGTTTACTTCACTGGCATCCTCTGCTTTTGTTTCATACAACCTGTGAATGTGAGACAGAAGCAGTTTGCAGGCAGAAATCAGGACATAATTCAGTGCTCCAAGCTCCCCCAGTCAGAAATTACAGGACATTTTGTCCAGGGAAATGATTGCAAAACATGTATCAAGCTGCAAGCAGGCTGTTCTCACCCTCCAAACTTTTATTAACACAAACAGTGGGAGATACAAAAACATCCCAGTGCTCAGAACTGTACCTTTTAATAAGATTGATCTTGGCCTTTAATCCATTGGTCCCTCTGTGCAACTGTTGCTGTCTGTTCAACTTGCTCATTAAAATTGAATTCCTTTGAAAACATAAAAAAGCAGGTTTCTATCATTTCAAGAAATTTCAAGCATCAAGATGCTGCTGCTGTCACAGACAAGCAGTGTTCTGCAAGTGACAGGGGGGACTGAAAGGACACAGTCACCATTGGAAAGAATGGTCTTATTTTACTATAAATACTAAGGCAACAAAAAAGTAAAATGATACATTCCATAAAACTACACACTTGGCTTTAGCAACAAGCAAAAATAAGTAAGGGAATGCACTAATCATTACTATATATGAGAGAAAGGATAGTGATTGAGAAAGATACATCACCAATTGACTCAATATTTTACTATTACACAAATCCTGTCACTGGGGAGCCCTATTTCACACACAGGACATGAAGAACTCTTCCCAGCAATTGGTAAATCCTACACAAAGTGTGCCCAACCCTAGGTGAGGTCTCCAAATTCACCCTAGAAGTGTGTCCAGCTTTTATAGGCCCAAATCATCAAGTCAAATTGACTTGATAATACTTTTAGCACAGAAACACCAGGATCTGATATCACACTTCCCAACCAGCAGGGGCCAAGGCCTGGCCAGGCCCTAGGCATTAGCATGGGGGGTTTTCCCAAAAATACCCTACAAACAAGCTGCTATTCCTGTCAGTAGGGAAAGTTTCTTAAAATTATACATTTCTTGCAGACAACTACACAAGGTTACGTGAAAGTTTCTGAAGCAGCTAGTTTGGTGTTAAACAGCTGGCATAAGAGTCTCTATCATCTATTTTTAGCTAAGTAATACTGCTGGTGTTAGTCACAATGCTCAGGGTTCATCATGTAAGCCAACTCAGGCCTCAGCACACCAGGCAGAAATCAGGCTTTGCTATCACATCAAACAGAAAACTTGCTGCAGCTAGCAGAGTTATTTGTCTCAGACACATCTGCAATGCCTTTTCTATGCTCTACAATCTCTTACCTATCCTACCGAAGAATCATCATGGTACAAAACACAGGTTTTGCAGAATAAATACACCTCAGAACACATTTTACTATCTCAGTTTAGTCCAAGCCCTCACCATTTCTGTTTGCATTGTCTCCAATATCGACTTTCCACTCTGGTTTCAATCTCAGTCCATGGCAGTGACTGGTACAGTTTCTCACGGTCAATCCAGAGATCCACATTTGACTGTTCCAGTGAGGAAACAGAACTTGGATTTTCTGTGTTCAGTTTTCTCCTCAGCACTTCCTTCACTGCACTCATTAACCTCTGGGTCTCCTCCTTTGTCCAAGCACCATAGTTGATAGCTAAAATTGAAAACCCACTAGGTTAAGGCATAATTTATCATAAATGATTAGGGGAAAAAAAAAGGAAAAAGAGCAAATGTTTCACTTTCCATGATTTTTATTTATAGTACCCATGTCCTAGAAACTCTTCTGCATACCAGACCGGAGAGTTCAGCCTGAACATTAAAGAACAGTCAGATCCCCAGTTTTTACCTTTCTAAACCTGGCTGCCAAATTCATTCTGCCCTCCTCGTGAAATCTTTTTTAGATGTCTATTCTGTTAATAGTTATACTTGTTCCACTTTTTTTCCCATTTTCTTTCAGAGCTCTTTCTTATCCTTTCCACATGAAAATGCAATCAGTGATGTGAAGAAGAGGACCACCAGAAATTAATTAATTAAAAATCCCATAGTTGAAGGACTTTGTTTAGCATACCTACATTGTACAGTTCAAATAATATTACACAAAATTAATTGTTTTTCATAAAATTACATACCTGACTTGATTTCAGAGAATTTCATAGCAACTGAGAGGTTAGAACGGGACATCAACTCAGAAATCTTCTTCCAATCATTGCCATGCAGAGCTTGATACTTCTTTAATTGTTCTTTTTCTTCCATAGTATACCTGGTTGGGGAAATGGGTACAGCTTCAGCTGTAAATTCAAACCATTTCAATCTCTTAAAAAGCTGTAACATCTGCAGGTGATCAATATTAATCATCCCTATCACTTCAAGTCACATTTTAGAACAGAGGAATCAATAAAGGAAAATGAACTATCAATTAAGTCACAGTAACTGGCACAAATGGGAGAGATGATCTTTACTTGAATCCATTTTTAGTTTACAAATAATCAACACAGACTGATGTTAGCATTCAGAAATGCTTTTAAAGTATTCCATTACCTTCCTTTGTAATTATTTGGGTCAAACATCTTCCTTGCTCGATAATATACCAGTCTCCAGGGCCGGGGAATGCCCTCAGCTGGAAGGCAAAGGATCATTTTTAACAATCATTTCTCACAGTGGTGAGGCCAAAATGAAACAAACCCCAACACCCAACACCACACATATTCATCACTGTGCTATCAACAACAGATTCTTTCCACTCACCAGTTACAAACTGCATGGACTGGCTATGCATTTGATCCAGGTGTGATTAAAATTTAACTGTCATGCTGAAAACTCCCATTAAAAGAGAGACATGAGACAGACACTGGGTGCTTCCAGACTGCTCCAACTGGGAAATGCAGGCACTGGGGGCACCCAGCAAAAGCCAAGTGAAGATCTCTGCTGAAGGGAAGATCCACAGAGATCAATCCCTGGAACACATGACCTTGGTTGGTTCATTGCTGGTCAGCAGTGCCCAGCAGAGGGGACTGCAAGGCACAGAACACTCATCAGACTTTCTGCCAAATCCTACCAGATCAGGAGCAAAGTCTCAGACTGGAATGAAAGTCACCATCAGGCAAATGCACTGATGCAGAGGGAAGGACTGTATGTCTGAAATAACCACAAATCTGTAGTTTGATCCCAGAATCCTGATCCATGACAGGCTGCCCTTTACTCTGCTTTGCCTGAGATGATGTCACTGAACAGAGAGAATAAAGCTCCTGGTAGATTCCCATGTCTTGGAAAACTGACATGGCTCAATTTCTTCCACCCTACTCAGTCACCTGCCACCTATTTATGTGATCTAAGAACAGGTGACAATTTCAGACAGAACTTACCAATCACTCACAGCTGCCATTAGTAACCTCAATTATAGTTTAGCAAATAATGCACTTAAAGCCATAAAGCCCAAATGCAGGTCTAAACGTCTTTACTGGTCTTGACCATGTCTTAACTCTAAACTCTTCTTGTTTGAGACCAGATAATAGAAACAGTGGACTGTGCAGATTATCAACTACACCATGTCAGCAGGTCCTTCTTTTACCAAATTTAGCAACATCCCTACTTGTCAATAAAAATTATTTTACAAAATACGCCACAATATCACCAGTTTGTAGAATGCAACATTCAGCTGTCTGAGGATGAACTTAAATACTCACAGATTTTTTCACAAAAATTATGTTTTATTTTCAGGTGATGGATGGTGTCTTTATCTTCTGGATATCTCGAGGTAAACAAAAGTTTTTCAGCACTGTCCACTCCAGTAAGTGATAAGAACTCTTCAACGTTTTTCCGGATTTGTTTATTTTCCTTCTGGGTAAATCTGCCAAACTTGACAGCAATACCTAAAATACAGAAATATTAAAAAAAGCCAAGTCAAACCCCAAGTACCATCTCTTGCACATCTCAGGTTTTAGCTCAGGTATCAACAAATTCAGAGGGGAAAAGAGAAAACTGAAAGAGAAAAACCAGCTGGGAATCAGTAATTAACACACAAGTTCTGACTGAAATTTGCCAATGTGGAAGCAGATGCTACAAAACAGAGAAACAGAAAATATGTCAATGGAATGAAGTGAACCAAACTCTGTGGGTGCAACAGACACAACACAAGAAACTTTTCCCTCTGTCCAAACATTAGCACAGCTGCACAGTCCCTCCTTGCTGCAAAAGGATTTCAGAGAGCTCACCCTGTTTTTTAAACTCCTTAAACCTTGTCAGGTCTCTTCCAGACATTTTCTTGATTGAACTGTCTGATATATTCTTCACATGAGGAATAAACTCTTCCAGTTCTTGTCTTGCAGTATCCAAATCCATGAATGAAGTTCTGGCAGGGTCCAGGCCTTCTTCACCATCCACACTGACCTCATCAGAGGCTGCCAATTCAGCAAAAGAACTGTCTTGCTGCTTCTGCTTCTTCTTTTTATATGATGAGGCTTTTGGTGTCCTGGTATTGAAAAACAAAGCATAAAATAAAATACACCACTAGAATGCCAAACCAGAGATTACCATTGAAAGAATGAACATATTCATTGATTACAGAACAAAAAATGCTTCACACACCCACTGCCTTGCATTTCTAACCTTTTAACATAATTTAATAATTGTAATTTATTACCAAATTTCTATACTTACAGTAATCAAGGAGCTTTCTGAAGTGAAAATCCACAGAACTCTCCCACTTGTTCATAATGAAAAAGTATCTCTTGCTACAACTGGCACAGATCTTTTCCATCTGTGTCTTATTAATGCTCCTTTTTCGTGTTCTAGACACTGTAAAGGCATCAAGAACTACTTACACCAGCATTTATTTGCACAGAACATTCAATTGTTTAGCTGACCTTACTAGCTGCTTGGTTAAAATGCACATGTGGACAATAAATATCAAGTTTAACAAATGTAATCCTTTTCTTATTTCCCCACTTTTCTTTTTTTTTTAGATGTGAATTGTTTGCACATAAATTATTTCCATAGCTACAGTTTTTAAAGAAGAGAAAAGAGACTACACTGAAGTATTCTTAGAAATTATTATAAATAAAATAAATCTTATATGCCTTTTTAGCACGTACTGGAGTCTTTTTAGCTCTATCAGCTGCTTTACTGGGTGTAGAAAAATCAGCAGGGAGCTCCATAGAGACCTCACTGATGGCAGAAGCAGCATCACAGCCTCCATCCTCATCTGAAGGCCAGCCCCTGTCCTGTTCTAAGGGCGGCTGCTCAGCTGCTCCATCTGTGTCCTCCTGCACATCCTGGGCACTGCCCTCTCTCCTCTTCTTCTTCTTTTTGGGTTTCTCTTTGTGGCCCTTGCTGTGCTCCTCAGAGGGAGACAGCTCACACACCTCATCCACTTCAGGCTGCTTTTCTTTCTTTTTCTTCTTGGGTTTTTTAGAAGGAGCAAAATCAGCAGCACCCTCCTGGCAGTCCTGATTCCCAGGAACACAGGTGACATCGCTGAGCTCATCAGCGCTGTCCTGACCCATCCTCTTCCTCTTCTTCCTCGGCGAATCAGCTGTTCCAGTCCCATTGCTGATTTCATGTTCCACAGTCCCAAAGTAATTCTCTATCAAAGCCTGCTGCTTCTCATCCTTTTTCTTCAGTTTCTTCTTTTTCCTGTCCTCCACTGCTGAATCTTCAAAGAGCACTTGGGATGCATGGCCAAGCTCCGGATCTTCCACAATTTCAGCATTTTTGCGTTTGTTGTTGGAATCATTGTGTTTCCTCTTCTTTTTCTTGACAAAATCCTGGACTTCAAAATAATCTGAATGTGCTTTGCCTTTCATTATTTTCCCTCTTAAGTAAAAGAGAGGAGTTTTACTGAAGTGTTGTCATTTATACACCTTTTTTTTTAAAACAACATCCCCCCTCCAAAAAAAAAAACCAACAAAAAGCATAAAACCCACCCAAAACCTTAACAATTAAAAACTCAAATTAAAAATTTGTCTTAGACTCTTACTTTTTAATCCAGTTAGTTTTGTAAAGTACCTAGGAAAAGCTGATGCCTTCTTCGTCAAACAGATGTGCATCACAGCTTCCCCCAGCCTTCCTACAACAAAAAATATTTTAATAAATTTAATAACTATTAGCTTTGATTTTGAATGCCTAAGCAACGTCTGACTCTTGTGTTCAACTCAGCTTTCAGCAGCGAAATAGCAGCAAGCTAAAAGCAACAAAGAAATACGAGGCTCATCAGCACTAAACCCAAAATTCTCTCATTAGAAGCTCCTGACGGGCCGAGCTCAGCCATGCCAGCTCTGTCCCAGGACAGGGCAATTCCTGCAGAATTCAGTCACACAGAGCAAGCAAGAAGCATTTTTAGCACATTTTCTACATCCAGCACATAAAAACCGCTCAGTCCGCAACACCCCCGGTCACGTCTGAAACTCGCGCCCTTGAATTTCGCATCCCCAGGGCAGTTCGCACCGCCGGCCGGCCCGAGCATCCCCTCCCCGGCACCGAGGGGAACGAGCGGCCTCGAAGGCTCTGCGGATCTCAAAGCACAGCTCGCCCCTAGGCCCAGATACCGAGGAACCCCGGCTGAGCACGCGTATGCGGCCGGGCCGGATCACGTCGCTCCGGGGCTACCGAGGGAAACTCCCAGCGCACGCACAGACCTCTCGGCGGTGCCGGGGTGTGAGGAACCCGCAGCCCCTCACGGAGACTCCTCACGGAGCGTCCACGCCGCCCCCGCCCCGCCGGGCCTCCCGCTACCTCCACGCGGTGTCACCCC